GATATTGATGATTATGAAGTATTTCAGGTCATTAAAGTTATAAGGTGATGTTCGGTTAGATTTATCGTGTATTATGAATAGTAATGTCAAAATAATAAACTTGCTGAATAAATGATTCTGCTATAACTTGCTTGCTATGCATAATTTTAATACTTCAGTTCATACCCTTTATTTTTTTTTTCTTTTTTAAAAAAAAATAAATATTTTAGTTTATTCGTTTAACAAGGAATTTAATAATTCTACAAAATTCAAAGACTAAAAGAAGCATAGCTATGGTAAGCCATGTTAGGCAAGGATAATTTTAATAATTTGTTACAAATCTAAAATAAAGTAGCGCGCAGAAAGCCGGTGATTTAGGGATATTATTTTCGTTATGCATGTATAAAATGGCTCGAGTTTCGTGAAACCTTATCTGAAAAATAATTGAACGATCGGATGATCAGATATTTGGCTGAGATTTTCTTTTCTATATTTGTTATGGATCGGTAGTACGAGAAAGAAAACGTTTTGTATAGTTCTTGATCATTATAATGTTCGTTCATTCAGAAACTGTCAGAGATTATTAGAAACGATCGGCTCTGAATGATCATGAGCCGGTAAAAACATCAGTTTTAAAAAACCGATTTTTTTGGGAAGAAAGAAGTTAAAAAAAAAGGCAGTTACTATGAATAAAACACTCTTCCGCTCCTATAACCAAATGATCAACATTCTTAACGAAATATACTGCGGTTAACATTATTTTTTATTTAAATTTCTTACTTTATAATTACTCTTATTTAAAATTTATAATTATAAATAATTTATTAATTTTTTGATAAATCACATAACTAATTCTTTTAAAATTTGTAAGATAGAATTTTATAATCCATTATAAGTGAAAAAATCCTTGACTCGCACCATTTATTTTTTTAAAATTTATATGACAGGAATTTTTTTTATTATTGCGCGAATTGGTTTAAATTATATAATTTATGTAGAATAAAGATGTAATATTTTTTTTCTAGAATTTAAAAAATGAGAACGGTTGAATATCGTTTTTGTGAGACCGAAAATTATTTTTTATCTAGTAAACTCAAATGAGATTAAAGTTCAGCCTTTATATGTAACGATTTTCTTGATTTATTTAACGTCGATAAAAAAAATTTTTTTCTGTCAGATCGCAGAATAAAAGTCGTTAATCATGGCATTTTACAGACATTTTTCTCGAGTTATGTTTTATTAAAAAAAAATAAAAATAGATAATGATCTAGAAAAACTAAATTTAAATTTTTTTTTTGTTATTTTTTTTTTTATTTATATACACGAAAGATTAAAAAAGAGTTTCGTTCGATAATATGACTAAAAAACAAGACTAAAAATAAACAACAAATAGAACAATACAGATAATGCAAAAATCATTCGATAATAAGACTAAAACTAAAAAAAAAACAAGACTAAAATAAACAACAAATAGGACAATACAGATAATGCGCTATCTATGCAAAAATCAGATAAGATTCCGAATCAACAAAAATTTTAACTAACTAAATAAATTTATTTTATGATTTAAAATTTTTGTCATTTTATTTTTTTTCTTCTCGAACTAAAATTTTTTCTCAAACTAAAAAACATAAAAAAATAAACAAAAAATGTATCCTCTTTTGTTATTTATAAACTATTAAAAAAGGACGAAAAGAAAAACGCAGAAAAAAAGAATAATGACATCTGCCATTTCCCTTATTGAAACAACTTCTGGTAATGTATCACTAACAGGAATTGCTACATACTGAAGCGACGAAGATGAATTCGTAAGCTACAACTACAAAGCATTTAACTTCGCTAATAATCATATGATTGAGCGAAATAAAATTATGCTAATTATTGGCAAATTCATCCTAGAAAATTCTGAACTTAACGTAAATATATATTTATTATAATTTTAAAAATAATTATACTAATTAAATTAAAAAATATTTCTCTTTTCTAACTTTTATTTTCTTTTCTAATTCAATTAAAATAAAAAAAAAAAATATGAAAAAAGGTCACTATCAGTCAAGCGACATCTTTGAATCTAAAAACCATTGAAGATGAACCATCAATAAAAGATCTTCACCTTAGAACGAAGGGCATATAATCCAATGACTTCTAATTATCTAACATTAGAAGTCGCATGTTCGTTATGATGCTGCTAATCCTAGACATACTGGTGTTGCAAGAGCAATTGAATCTAAAGCAATAATCTCTATCTGCGGCGAATTGCATAAGGGAGATAATATGATACATATTGTAACGACTGATATTGAATGGAATAATACATACTTAGGTAGCACATCATCCTTAGAACAAACTACAGATAATAAAAAATGACGTAACCAAGATCTAATAAATTATGAAAACAGATACAAAAAAAAATAAAAAATCAATTAAAACAGATCAAAAAATCACAAATCAAAATAGAAGAAATAAAAAGTGAACCGGAAGAATCTAACAGAAAAGATGATGATAATTACGAAGAAAATCATGTCAAAGAATCAGATGATGAATATCAAATAATGCTACCGAAAAAAACTTCAAGATCATTCAAATTAAGATCTGCAATGAAAAAAAATCTATTCTTATGTCAAATATTATTTTAGTTCTTTTTTAACAATAAAAAAAGTCTATTATTTTTTTAATAATTAAATATAAAAAATCAAATACTTCCGAATTAATAAATCAACTAACTGATTAATTATTTTCAGCCAAAATAAAAAGAATTTTTTCATTTTGACGTAATAAATTTATTATTATTTTATCGTCTAATAAAAAAATCATTATTAATTTTGAACTAAAAAAAGATAGATCGATAAACAAAAAAATACTAACTTCTTAATTAATCATTTATCGTTAAGCATGTATAAATTAAATAAATAAATTATAATAAATAATTAAATAAAACTTTTTTAATTAATTTATCGCTACCATATATAAATAACAAAAAAAAACAAAACCAAAAATATCTACATGATACAATATACATTTTCGAATTTTATAGAACCAAAACTAATATTACAACAAAGACCAAATATTTTTAACGCATCACTTCTTGGTAGCTATGTAGAACGAAACTAAACTAACCAAAATATACAAAATTCACAAAATGTAATATTAAACTTAAACAATCAAAATCCCATATATACCTCTTCTTTTTCTACAATAAACTACGAACCATGGAAAATATCAAATAAACAATAATTTATTAAATGAATTTCAAGAAAATATTTTATATGATCATCCATGCGCATACTGTTCAATATTAATGATGAACCAAACAACAAATTGGATTGATTACGATACAACTGAAGAATATACATTACCTATAGCCTTTCCAAATATTAAAATAGTAACTCGCTTAAACAATCGAGGTAAAACAAAAATTGCTGTATGTTCTTCTTGTAAATCTAAAAAGACTCGTCGATATCCACCAATCCTGTCTTCAATACCAGAAGAAATAAATGCTATTCCTATAATATATCGAAAAAACTTATCACCAATACATATAAATTGTACATTAGGTCGAACTTTAAGATTTAATTCATATACAAACTATCGATACTTAAAAGGATTCATTAACCTTTCCAAAAATAAATATGCACTTCAACTACATTCAGGTCTAATTGGAGCCTTTCTAAATCAAGAACAAGAAGATTCTCCTAACTGGTTCCATCCAACATTAATATCCGCAAATCAGTGGCTAAAAGAAAATAATCCTATATTTAAAGAATATAATCATTTATCATCTTTTGAATCACCAACACAAAATATAACAAATCAACCATATCCAATAGCTAGATTAACTAATATATCTTCTTGGTCAACACAAAACCAACCTCCTTAATTAATCGTATCAAATGAAAACTTTCCTACTAAAATACATAATGAAGATTACAAATATTAACACTTAATAGCAGGTTTCTTAAAAATAGATAACGAAAATCTAGATTTACCTATACCTAATTATAATCCTGATATATAATCCTTATTATTTCCTGATCTCTTTCCATTTGAACATTATCACTATGAAGATTCAAAAAAATTATTAGAATTTAAACAGAATGTCGATAGTTATGGCAAATATATTAAATTACGATTATTATGTCCTGATTCTAGATTCAGACTTCATTGGTATTGGCCATATTGGTCATATCTTAACCTTGAAAAAAAACGCAACTACCAAAATCAAAATAGAATACTAAATCAAAAAAATACTATTCGTAATTTACATCCAACTAGAGCAGACCTTATAGCAAAAAGTATTTATAATAATCAACCTATTATAAATGAATTCCTTACAATAACAATACCATAATCCATCCGAACCTCTGAATCATTTTTTAAAAAAAAACAATATCAAGTAAATACAATGTTCCAAACTTATGGATTACCACAAATCTTTTACACTATGACAATAGAAGAAGATAAATGGTTACATTTAAAAGAAATACTAAAAAACACTGATAATAAAGATCCATTACCAACTAATAGACCATTGCATGTATATTTTCACTATTATAATAGATTAACAAATATACGCAATAAGCTTTGAAAAGATCCTGAAATTGTACAATGGGAAAATATCTTCATTATTTTGAAAGAGATGAATTTCAAAATAGAGGAACTATACACACACATGGATTTGCTTATACTGAAAAAAAATATCAGAATTAATTGAAAAAAATACAATACGCGCAGATATGCCAAATCAAATCACTGAATCAATACTTTATCAATTAGTTTCTATATACCAAATACACAAATGTAACAAAGAAAAATGCGGAGGTCCAAGAACAAATACAAAACCATGTAAAAAAGGATTTCCTCAACCTTTATCAATTATACATATTGTAAACCAAATTCTAAAAGATATATCTACAAGGAAACAAAAGAAATTGATCATTGGATAGTTTCTTATCATCCTAAAATATTACTAATATGGCAAGAACACATAAATTTTTAATACATAACTACAGTTGGATTTGGAAAATATGTAACAAAATATGCAACTAAAGCTGAACCAACAGAATTTTTGATATAAAAGAACAAGATTCTTATAAAAAGCATGTACAAGCAAGAAGATTAGGATCAATTGAACTTATGATACTGCTATTACAATATCCAATAACAAGATCGTCAGCAGCAGTACAATTTCTTCCATCTGCACCATCAGAATTAAGAATCCGATCAGTTAAACTAATATATATGCAAATTAACAATGATGATAAAGAAGATGAAGATGAACACGATAAATCATATTTTGATGATGCAATTGATAAATATTATGATAGACTAAGCAATGAAATATTCAAAAATATGATATACCCAGAATATTTTAAAAATTATAATATTAAAACTAAATCACCATCAATTAATTCAAAATTATACACAACCCAAGACCTAAAAAACTGATATGTAACAAAAAGAAAAAAGCCATTGCTATTAAGATTTACAAATTACAAAGTTGATGATGGAGAACCTTTCTTCTTTTAACATCTAATAATGAAAATTCCTGTACGATCTCAAAGTGAACTATTTGGAAACTGCACAAGTTTCAGAGAAAGATTTCAAAACGAATATCCTATAAGATACCAACAAACCTTAAATAAACTATCAAATAGTTCATTAATCACAAAAATTACACTCTCAGAAGCATTTAAAAAAGCAATTATATTAGTTTAGAAGAATTAGATAAAAGTGAACTTTGGGATATAATATATAATCAACTTATCTTATTAAAAAAAATCATCCTTAATATCAACCTCAACCCTAACACTCGATGAAGAACAATATGAAACCTATAATATATTATGCAACACTTGGGGTACCGAACAAGAAAACAAATATCCATATTTTTTTATGACTGGATCAGCAGGAACCGGAAATTCATTCATGTTACAACATATAACAAACATGTTAGAATCAAAAAATATTAAATACATATTATTAGCTTCAACTGGAGTATCCGCTCAAAACATAGGCGGCAAAACCATCTACTCTGTCCTCAAAATTAGACAATATAATGATCATTATCAAACACTAATATTAGATGACGAAAAATCCAAAATAAAACTATTTTTTCCTCTCTTCTTATCACAACCAAAATGACAAAAAAACGATCCAGACTACTACAACCTCCTACAAGAATTGATATTTGGACAACTCTCTGAAAAATCAAAATCGATGATAAACCAAAAAATCTCCTAAACAACCAACATAAATGCAATGATAAATTCAACACATATCATAGCCTCCGCGAAACTGCCCAAGAAATCAACTCCTTCATCTGCGATAACCTACCAATAAGTAACAAAAACCCAGAAATCATCATATTAAAACCTATAGATAACCTTAATAATCAAATAATCGATAACGAAAATGACCAATATCATTTCAAAAATCATACCAACTTACCAAACTCTATAACAATACAAGAAGGCGCGCGTATAATGTACTTAAATAATAAACTCTTCGAACATGAAATATGCAATAGAAGCATCGGAGTAGTAACAAAAATCACAGATAACGATAATATAGAGATAACCTTTCCCATGACTGATAATATAACCAAAATCAACGTACAAATAATGACGTCATATTTTAACATCAATGGTATATTAGCATCACGACGCCAATTCCTAATTCAGAATGCATTTACATTAACTGTACACAAACAACAAGGTCTCACACTACCTCACACCATCTTAACGATCGATGAAAACATGTTCTCAACCAGTCAAGTATACGTAGCGATGAGCAGAGCCCCCTCGTGGAACTGTATAATAATATCCTTTGATTTTGACGCTCTTAAAACTGACAAGGAAGTTCTCGCAGAATACAGAAGGTTAAGGCACATAAACTAAAAAGGTCTAACGAAATTCTGAACCAACCACTAAATAAAAGACTTGATAATAAAAATAAAAATAAATCCGAATAACCAAGAGACCACAATATAATATAACCTCTGATCAGGGCTCCTCCGCGCGTATTCGGAGCAAAAAATGCTTGTTATAATGTGAATTGAAAATAAATTTCGTGCCAATTCTTAGTCATCTTCACTTGAACGGAAAATAGCTTCAAATTTTTTATCATATTTTGTAAAAGTATACCGTTAAAAATAATCTTCTCATGTCGTTCTAACGTTTATCGGTAAAATTTTCTAATCGATATAAATTCATTCAGTTGTAATGAATAATTTTTTCAGAGAATTATTAGTTATTCATTAGATTAGAGAACTCTTTCTATTACCATATGCAAACAATTGTTACCGATCGTTTTAAATTGTCGTTGAAATATTTTATTATTATTAAAACAAAAAGGTCAAGTTTAATCCGATAATTAAATGTCAAAAAAAAAATAAGCAGAAAAGATGAAGTTTGGCTGTATTTTAATGAAATTATTGTCACACAAGAGAAATCAACGATAAATACGATAAATAGTAACATAGTACACTGCAATAATTTTTTTTTTAGTTTTTATTTGCAATAAAAATAAAAATTTGTAAAAAAGGTATATATATTTGGTATTTTGTAATATAAATATTATTTTTGAATTTTTAAATTTCACAGCCAATTAGCATAACATTAATTAAACGGGTTCGAGTTGTAATATTATTAAGTCAAGCTTCAACATTTGGACTTAAGCAGGCATTTTCTTAGGATATACACAATTTAAAGTTCAAAGAATGAGATTTTAAATATAGAAAATGGTACGACAGGATCTACTACCAAACAAGTAAATTTTAATATTTAATTTATTATAATTTGTAATAGAATGATTGTACAAGGACTCGAACAAAAGAAATCACCTGTGTAATAAAACGTGATTTTTCAGCATCACTACAAACTTCTAATTTAATGGTTATGTTAAACTTGTTCCTATCCAGTTGAGAAAGTACTCTGAGATTCTAAAATGACAAAATTTAAATACATAAAAGTTCGCATTCCAAGATGCAAAAGATAATATTTGAATGTCTTCGATGGTAAAAGTTTGAAGTTATGGCCTATGACTACTATCATTAAAAGTTACTATTATTTCATAACGCTGTATCTCCGAAAAAAAGCTAGAGATTTTCTTTAGGTCGATGTAGCTGCTTTATTATCTCAATCTTGAAACTTTCGTTGGGCGATTATTAAACGTAAAATCACCTGTTCACATACATAATCTTACGATCAAGTGGGAATACTTTTTGGTAAATTGGATTGTTTGTACATATTTATTTTTACTTTAGGCATTTTCAAATAATAAATTGCATTAATTAATAAGCAATGTAATCACATATATAGAAAACACTAAACGATTTTTCTTTTTTTTTATTAATAAAAAAAGATCAACTATGAATTTTCTTACATATAGTAAATATTTATGCTTATATAAATTATTTTAAAAAAATAAATTATTTCTAAAATGTCAAAATATAACTAAAAGATTTTCAGTCCGATCTTATTGATACAATGTGATTGAATAGATTTGCTCCAATATTTTTTTTTTTTTTTTTTTTTTTTAACCAATCAGAACTTATTAGTCAGTGTTGAGAACGCCCTTAAATGTTCTAATCAAAGGTTGTGTTAATTGAATTTAATATAAATTTCGATATAAGGGGAAGTATAGTCATCAAATTAAATTTTTAAGTAAGTTTATCCTTTGATGCTCACACACCTTGATTTTAGGAAATTTAAAAACAATGATTTTTGAGACCCTTTGATGGCTCAAAAGCCTCTTTAAAAAGACCGAAAGAAATGAAAAATTAGATTCACCGCTTCGAGTTGTGGTGAAAACATTCCAAAAGATATCGCCGTAAATATCCAACTTATTTTCGAAAATCTGTAAGGCGTCTACTATGGATTTATCGTCGAGCTTAAACCCTAGTTCGATAAGCTTGGTAGGGCGGAATTTTACATCGTCGGCAGTAGGGCAAAGCCATCCAGATGGTGGGGATGGAGGAAATAGGATTAGTAATGCTCCCGATATGACAAGATTATCGGTATCACTACATATTTCGGCGTATCCGTCAAGGTCATCCTTTGATGGATATTTTACCGGAACCATGAGATTTTGTGATGGTCGATTTCGTAACATAGTTTAAGTTTGCTTGGTTGGTGGAAATGGATATTCTTGTATTTTAAATGTTATTTTATCAGTAAAACATCACTGAATGATAAAGAGTATAAGAATCATAGGATTACATAATTATGTTATTTTGTTTTATGGTTATCAAAAAGAAAAGTGATTCGATTTCGATCATTTATATAAATCAAACGGTCATATTGTCATACCTTATTCTGTGATAAGGAGTCCTGCATGCATAAAAAAAATTTGCATTTCCTTCCAAAAGCTCTACTTCTGAGAAATCTTTCCGATTGATTTAGCATATCAATCAATGCCTCTTATATAAAGAATCAAGTTTGATTTGCAGTTTTCTTTATTCTACAGTTTGAGTCGTTGGTGGCGTTCTGAATATACTTAAAAAAGAAGTGACCCTGTTTTTCCGGATAATTTTGCTTATGATTCAGATATGCTGCGCTTTATAAGTTTTACACGTTCGTGTCAGAAAAATTTATATTGGCTAGAGATAGGTGACCAGATTGATTATGCGTTGAAAATTTCAAAATCATTGATTTCAATTGTTAGTTCTTATCGCGGTTAGATAAAAAATTTTTAAAAAAAGAAAATGGGTATATTTCATTTTGGCTTAGAAATCTCGGAAATGTTTTTTTTTTACAGTTTAGGTAATTGCTTTGTCGGATCACCTTTTTTAGTAACATCGTCATTAGAAGGCTGAAAAACTTTATTTGATAACAGTATCTAATTTATTTATATTGTGGGAATTTTTTTTAGTAATATTTATTAGTTTTCACTCATTTCCATAAAAATCAAATTGAATCAGCTCTCCTTTTAGTAATTTCTTATCTTTTGAAGTGGTTAATAGAAATAATAATGGTATATACTAAAAACGAGAAAAAAAAATTGATCGTGTTTTTTTTAAGGTAAACCAAAAAAGAGACAAACGATGAAATACAACACTAATATTAAATCTTTTGATTAAAACAAGGTCCTAAGTTCTAAAAGATTTTAAATATTTTAATTATGATCAAAGATCAAAGATATAGTTTTTTTCGGTATCCGGACGTTTCGCCGAATCCGTTTCGTCGAAACCCACTTCGCCGAAGCTAATTCACCGAAAGGACTCTTCGCCGAACGACCACTTCGCCGAATGCTATTTTACAGAAAAACGTTTTCGCCGAAAGGTCACTTCGCCGAAATGCTGTTTTGCCGAAATGACGTTTTGCCGAATCCTTTTTGCCGAACGGAC